CAGATACTGGCCATCAATATCTGCCTGAGGACTGCCCTTCAAAGCATTTTTCATGCTGCAGAAATCATCTGCACAGATTTGTCGTACATCGTACGGGAATATTTTTCACCAGACTATGGCAATTTCTTTGAATTTGATATGGAAGTTCGGAATTTTGCATTACTGAAAAATCCGCGCATTATCCGTTTTTCCTGGCAGTTGTTTCGATTGTTAAAATCGCTTGAAATTTACCTTTCCAGGCGAAGGGGCATGGTATCGGTCGTTGGCAATGAAGCCGGCACCGTACTTCACACTGATAATGAACTGAACACATCTACTGACCGTAAGTTTATGTTTTTTTATGGTTTAGATCACAGAAACTGAAGTTATTTCTTCCTAGGAGCAATCATGCAGGCGGAAAATCTCAAGACACTAACCTCAGCACCTGCAACTAATCCCATTGAAACCGATGATCCAGCCGAAACATCTGGAATCAGAATCCACAACGATGTCGAGAATGATGAACAGCAGCCCCAATGCAGTTAGTTTTTGATGTGCAAATTCGTAACAGATGTCGAGAGCGTTTGGCTTTTTGTTTAGGTGGCCAACAAAACCTCGAGCAACCGGAGAAGAGAACGTCAGAGGTGAATGCGATGAGTGTTCAGGCTGAAAAAATCGCTGGTGAGAGTTTTTGTACACCTGTGGTTTGTAAGCATTTCAGAAAAAATAGGGAGTAGAGCCGAGATTTGAGAGGTGAATTGCGTAAAAGGGCGTGGCAGGGGCGGGGCTAGACAATCTGGACGGGAAGAAATGTAGAAAAATGTAATCTTATTATCTACATGACCTAATCGGAATTGACGACTTTGAAAAGCTAATTTAGCGCAATGATTGCAAACTACCCTCTCTTGATGGCGTACTGTAGATTACGGTATCAGATGAGTTACAAAACTACCAAATTTCTTCACTTATTCGTGGGCAGAAATTTAGCGAAAATAGCGAGCATAATCATATCTATGCGTGCAGCAGCTTTAAAGTAAGCTCTAATCAAAGAAGTTTCTTTTTTTCGTTAACTTTTGATTTCTGCACATATTTTTTACCTCATTTTTCTTGTTTACAATCGATTTTTCGCCTTATTTTTTGAGAAGACCTCCTCTCAATTGTACGCGGACAGTAGCTAAAGAAACCCGTCGTTTGTTGAGTGTCCTAAGCGACTTCCCAAAATAAGCTTCACGTCATATATTTCTATTCTGCATTTGAGAAGTTTGCCATGCATTTTCTAGTGACACGTGCACGCGAAATTTCCATCCAAAACTACATTTGAATAAGTGTGCGCCGACATTCTCTTTTCTGACGAGCTGATGAATGTGTAATTTTTCTTTGCTGTTCATTACAGAAGGATGTCTCTTAACGTCTTTTGAAGGGAAGGGAAGTAGTATAAGTGACTGTGGCTAATAGTATGTCTTTCAATCTGTAGTTGGTTAGAACAGCTAGACACCACGTTTCAGAGAAAAAAGTACGGCAGTTGTGGGTGAAATATTAGGTTGTCCCATAAGTCTTTTCATTTTTCGTTCTTTACTGCCATAAGCCACTTCTTCGTAGATTTAGCATAGTAATTGAGATACCATTCGATAGAGCAAAGCATTTTCTAGAAGATGACGTTCAAACATCCACACCAAGTATGATCCACACAAAGTTTGAATCCGAAATCTAAAAAGATCC